GGTAGACGGTTTCAGCTGTCTGCTCGTGCAATCAGTCCACACCTGTCTAGCTGGCGAAGCAAAGCAGGGGAGTTACTGGCACCTCATCAGCCCTATGGCGCCTCTTGCAGATGCAGGGAGAAACAGCCCTCGGGAATTTTTGCATCGACCAGGTTTTGTGCATGTATTGTACGTACAGTACTCGTCTACCAAGTACTCCCTTACCGAGGCATCAGCGGACACTGTTCGTCTTCGAGGACCAAGCGAAACAGCTCCACCATGCCACAATTGGTATCCTTGATCCTGAGTCTATGTACAAGCATGTATGTCCTCGGCACATTGATTGTCAGGCACAGCATCGCCAGCCAGTCTCCACAGCTTCAATACTCGCAAACGATTTCAAGCAGGGCACTCGGAGCTATGATTATTAGGTGCTTACGCCCTCTGAGACCTTGCTAAGGGAGAGTATACGGAGTAGAGGGAGGTACTTGTACCCGGTACGTCTTACCTACGCTACAGCTAGTTGGTCTGCGCAGAACGAAACTCGATTCAGCTGCAACAGTACCCCGTACATGTACCTGGTACTGTACAGTGGGTGCTCCTCATGCCCGTGGACACTTGGACATCAATGCCGACACGCAGGACCGATTAATCCCCGTTGTGCCCACAATCATGCAGTCTTTTGTTTGTTACACTGCGGTCCATGTCAAGGCACAGAAAGGACATTATTTGACAGCTGTCACCCGCAAATCACGATTTCGGTATCACTCTCTGAAGACTGGGTCCGTTCCCCCCCAGTCACGTCTGGCGAACCCAGGATATCGCTGCAAAAATGCAGGCCCCCATAGCAAGTCCAAGGTACATATTCATCCCCTTTTTTTCCCTACGACGGATTTTTTTTTTTCCTCTGCTGATCCTTTCCCTGCATAATGATGTCTGGCTGTCCACATTTCCCTTTTCTCTCATACGCGGCTTAAAGGGAACTGCCCCAGCCATCGGGGACCTCGCCAGTGCCCCATAGTCCCAAGTGTAGGTTGCCTTACCAGGTGTCTCACTTCGCAGCCAACCCACAATAATAATAATAATACTGGGAATACCAGACTCGGTTGGAAGGAAATTTCTGCCCTCGCACACAAAAGATCCTCCTACTCGGAATGGCAGTGGAACATCCATCCCCTGACATACCAGCGGGGCTCATAACGCGCCCTTCCCCATCGCAGCTGGGTATTCATGCAGGCACAGTTCAATACTATTGCTTGCCCAAGGTCCCGGAGAACAGAAATTCCCACTGCGAAATATTCTTTTCTCAAGGAGATAAATCGGTTATACAGAGCCGGAAGAAAGTGCGTGCCCACTACACGCTTGCCAGGTTAAAGGGCAATGCCCCCTTTTGCTGGGTGTTTTGGAAGTGGGACGGTCAACCAAACAGCGTCCTGTTGCCAGCTTCAATCGCCTTCCACTCTCCTTCACTCATGTCCGGGGAGAAATCCCACATCATTTTTCCAAATCCCATGGCGCGCTTCCCTGCATCATTGACTTGATCCCAGGATACAGCTCCAAGAAAGCCAACCTCGCCATCACCACCGGCTCCGGGGAAGTCTGGCGGCGGACTGTATGCCAGTGCACTCATCCGTTGTCTCTTCAAGAACTCGACATTGGGCCTGGTGATTGCACATGCAGGAATATACATGACGCTACTGTCACCTTTGCCACGGTGCTCCTTGTCTACCGCGTGGATCTGGGGATTGCTGTCAGCTTCTTCATGGCATTGACCAAATGGGGGCCATTCACTATGACGCTGACTTGACCGAAAACAGACAACATCTTTCAAACAGGATAGGGGACTCACCATGTCACAATGCCAAGCAACATAATCACCCGGTTCAACTTTGGGCATGCTCACCATAGTGGTGTCAAGCTCGAGGCCAGGGTGAGAGACAGGGTCATATTCCTGACATGCAGCTGGTACGGAGTTTGGAAACGTGGCGTCCAGGTTCAGCTTGCCTGTCTGGAGATCGATAAATGGTCTCAGTATCAGGTAAGATGTGGCATGCCGAATCAAGGGACAGACTCTCAGGGTGCCTTCACCAGGTCCCGTTGAGGACATGGACAGCCAGCCCTGAAACAAGCGAAACATGCTGCAAGCACCGGCTCCATTGTACAAGTCCATCCTGGCATCGATGCGGTGGCGTGCGTCGAAAGGGTCATACTCTTCCCAGCGACCTTTGAGGATGGGCTGATATACGCGAGCATACTCGGGATCTTCCCAGCGCTCGAGACTTCCCCCATCAGTGTGCGGGCCCAGTGAGAACTTTGCGTCGCCCGGTTGCCGGATGCGAAAGCGGTCAGCGTAAGTCAGAGGGTAGGTTGTAGATATCTCTGACGATGGGTCGGAGGAGTGCCAGAAGGACGCAAGGAAAGACTGAGCTTTCAGCATGTTCGGATGAGCTCTTGCTTGAACTTGGGAAGGAGTCCAATACAACTCGTACACGGCAGGATTATCTGCCGGGAAGGCTCTGACTTTGGATCTGTTCGCGTTGATATATTCCTTGGCTTGCCGTTTGAGATCCAGCGCCTGCTCTCGAGGGAGAACATTACGAATGACCGCAGTCCCTCGATGGCGGAGCGCGTCGAGCTTCGGGCGGGGCACAGTCCCAGCAACGATATCTCGAAATTCAATGCTAGGAATAACCTGGAACGCAACAATCAGCCATTTGCATATCTCTGACGGAAGGGATGGAGCGTACATTACTGCCTTGTGATCTAATCTCGGCAATCTCCCGCTCCAGACTCTCCGACAGTCGCTGCCAGGACGCTGTTATGGCGTCTTCATTGCCCTTGATCAATTTCTTCTTCAACGCACTGAACCGTGGTGGCAGAGGATCAGGTTTCTTGCCAGATAGAGAGGGAAAGACGGAGCTGATGTCACCAGCCTCTTTGGTCAAGGTGGAAGCGGCACGTCGCAAAGCTGTGTTGAGGTGATTCTTCATGGTCTCTGCGCGCCGGGGGGAACGAGCTGAATATGCGACGGTGTCAGACTCTCCCTCACTACTCTCTATCTTCTGTTTTCTGTTCTCTGTTCAGTTCCAATGTCTGAATTTATCCTCGATCATACCGCGAGAGCCACCGGATACGCTTCCGAACCAGGCGTAGCGCGAACCGCCATGTGGTTTGGTTGTATTTTGCGGAGGCAAAAATGGCCCGATTCGAGTCAACCACGCTATACCTGAAGGTTGTAACCTCGGTCTCCTTGGTTAGAGCTTCGTGAGGGGAGGGGGGTCTTTCGACATGGGCCATCCACAACACGGGGGATCCTTCGATAAAATACAATACTGCTGCCTCGGGATCCCGAGGTAGGAGGTTGTATATGAAGCCACAAGGTGAACTCTTCTCCAGATTGAATTCGACTTTGTCATCTTAAACCCCCCCTTCTGTCCCCCACAAGGAATCTGCACAATGGCTCAGCAAGTACAAGGAAAGACAGCGATTGTCACGGGCGCTGGCTCCGGTAGATCTTTCTCTCCGATGCAACCTCAGCCCAACGAGGCAAAAAAACTGACTTAAGGCGACCACCAACAGGGATTAATCTCGAGTTTGCCCGTCTCCTTCTGGAACATGGCGCCAACGTCGTGTTTGCCGACCTTAGTCTCCGACCAGAAGCCGAGAAAGTGGTCCAGAAGTATCAATCGACTGCCAACAAAGCTGTCTTCCAGAAGACCGACGTGACCTCGTGGCCGGACCTCGATGCCATGTTTGCCGCAGCTCAGCAACAATTCGGATCAATCGATATTGTGTGCCCAGGAGCAGGAGTATTTGAGCCGGATTGGAGCAGCTTCTGGCACCCACCGGGGACGGAGAAATCCAAGGACGACCCAGCCGGAGGGAGGTACCGGCTGTTGGACATCAACATAACGCATCCCGTGCGCGTAACGCAGTTGGCCATTTCTCACTTTTTGGCCGCAAACCCGCCATCCAGTGTCGAGAATCCCAAGACGATTGTCCATATCGCGAGTATCGCAGGTGAGACCACCAGCCTCACATTCCCCCTGTATCATGTGAGCAAGCATGGCGTCCAAGCGTTGGTGCGCAGCCTGGCGGATCTGGAAAAGCTGCAGGGGATACGTGTGAGCTGCGTGATGCCGGGACTGGTCAAAACGCCGCTGTGGACCGACCACCCGGAGAAGTTGAAGGTCATTTCGCAAGACGATGTCTGGGTGACGCCAGAGGAGGTCGCCGAGGTAATGCTCGCATTGGTCAAGGACAAGGAGATTTCCACTGTCATTGGGAGCAGGAGCTCGAGGACAAATGGCGCCACTGGACAGGCGACGGACGTGATTCAGATCAAGGGAGGCAGCTGTTTGGAGGTGCTTGCAGGCGCTGTCAGGGATGTGCCTCTCTTCAATAATGTCGGGCCGTATGTGGGAGGACAGCCAGGGGCAACAGCGAGCGATGCTGTGAAGATATACAACGAGGTTGTTGACTCGTTGAAGCCAGGATGGGGGAAGGCCTGAATGCGGCTGTGCGTTAACAATACGAGCTTTGGTGGGGGGGGGGAACACGAAAGACAGTTCAACCACCAGTATCGAGTACAAGTAGACCTATACAGGTACCGAGTACAGGGTAGAACAATGAGCATCCAGATGGATTCGCATATCAGTTGGAAAGGGGGCCAAATGGAAAGTTTCGGGGCGACGATGGGGGATCAAGTCTCCCCCGATGTGTGGCTTGGGAGGCTTGGACACTTGTTTGACGCCATCCGCAGCCGCAATTGTCATATCCGTCTCTCTTCGCTAAATTAATTCCTCTCGGGCCTCAATTTGGGAACCGACATTTCCAATCCATTCGTTTTTCCCCTCTTTCTTGACTGCTAAATGTGATGATCTAGCCATCTACCGCGCCTTTATCTGCTCCGGTATCTTTTGTGTCTTTGTTCGTTGCTCTCGCGAGGGGAGCAGAGATGAACACTTCCGATCCCACGAGATAAAACCCCGAGGTCCTTTGTCCTATCTTCGGACCTGATCATGTCACTACCTGCGCCCGCTTCCTCGAGCAGGACGCAGTCTCGAGCTCGTCGGTAAGCCGTCTCGCGATCTATGCTGTTACTGTGTGCTAACTGCTCTTCAGACGCCCCGGCACCCCGACCCTTAGCAAACGCGATCTCACAGGAACTGTCGGTCAAGCATCATGGATCAGCAGCGTAGTCAATCTCCTCAACACAATCGTGGGCGCTGGAGTCCTCGCCATGCCCGGCGCCTTGTCACATATGGGGATCTTGCTGGGAACAATTGTGATACTGTGGGCTGGTGTCACTGCTGGGTTTGGCCTCTACCTGCAGACTCGCTGCGCCGCGTACCTGGATCGAGGATCCTCGAGTTTTTTCGCCCTGTCTCAAATCACATACCCCAACGCCGCGGTCATCTTTGATGCTGCCATCGCCGTCAAATGCTTTGGGGTGGGAGTCAGCTATCTCATCATCATTGGCGACCTCATGCCCGGGGTGGTGCGAGGGTTTGCTCGTGAAGAGGACCTGGGGAAATTCATGTTCGATCGTCACTTTTGGGTGACGGCTTTCATGCTGGTTGTCATTCCATTCTCCTTCCTACGTCGACTCGACTCGTTGAAATACACTTCGGTCATCGCCCTGATATCGATTGGCTACCTGGTCATCTTGGTCGTCTACCACTTTCTCGCACACGACACGTTGCCCGATGGGCACTATAAGACTCCGCTGCGGGTAATCACCTGGGCTGGTGCTGTACCGGCTCTTTCTTCTTTCCCCGTCATTGTGTTCGCCTATACCTGTCATCAAAACATGTTCAGCATCCTCAATGAGATCAACGACAATTCTCATTTCCGCACCAGCGCTGTGGTATTTGCGTCCAACGGCACGGCGGCCGCCATCTATGTTTTAGTTGCGATTACCGGTTACTTGTCATTTGGGAACGAAATCGGAGGGAATATTGTGGCACAGTACGCGCCCTCGGTGTCGACAACGATCGGTCAAGCCATGATTGTGGTTCTTGTCATGTTTTCCTATCCTCTGCAAGTTCACCCTTGCCGTGCCAGTGTCGACGCCGTTCTCAAATGGCGTCCATCCGACAAACTCAAGGCGAGACTCCGTTCCACCCCTGCGACGCCCAGCTCGCTTGATTCCAGCCCTGCGCGTGACGTGCCTCTGTTGCAACCTGGCAGGAGACGAAACGCGGAGATGGGAGAGGCTCGATTCGCCGCTATCACCACTGCGATCATCATCCTCAGCTACATCGTTGCCATGACGGTTTCCAGCCTCGAGACTGTCCTGGCGTACGTCGGATCCACAGGAAGCACGTCCATTTCCTTCATCTTGCCAGGCTTGTTCTACTATAAGATATCGTCGCCTGATTCACCTCTGCATCAAAAACTCGTGAAGGAAGAAGACGATTACGACTGGCCAGGGGACGAGGGTGAAAGCGTCAAATCTGACGACGACGCCGTCAATGATGAACACCCGAGCCACGAAGGGCAGAACTTGCTGAGTAATTCGGGGTTTCTGAGCCTAAGTGGCGTGAGCTTGCTGAAACGGACGAGAAATTTCCGCCGGAAACTGCTTCGCAAGCTGAGCCTCGCATTGGCCATCTACGGTGTATGTGTCATGGTGGTTTGTTTGATCACAAACACCTTTTTTATTGTCGGGCACTAAGGGGTGTTGAAGAGGAGGCGACAAGTGCGTGTGCCAATGCTCTAGACATCAGCCACAAGGAGGTGTCACACCACATGGGTTGGGCTATTAGATTCGGCCGCCGGATATAGTGTTGGACGTGACCTGATTGTTGGATTTCGAAGAGGGATAGAAGACGCCAGCCGATGACTACGACTACAGCTGATTAGGTCGGCATTCCGAGTGGCGAGGACCTCAAGTCAAGGTACCAGAGAAGCGATAATACGGTGCACCCCGACAAGATCTCCTGGGAGGGAACGTCCCGCTGGGCAGATCGGCAAGTATCGGTATACGTCGGTATATTCCTCATGCGACTTGGACAGCAAAGTCTCATGGAAGAGTTGGAAGTGAGCCCAGGAGAGTTCCAGAACCATACCCAGCAAGACTTACGGTACATATACGCGCTCCAGACCCCTACAACAACCAAAGACATCTGTTGACGAAGGACTCGACTTGTCGATCATGGCGTTAAGAATTTTGGTTTTGGTGTTGGGACATGGAATGGGACTGTGGCAGAGAGCAAAAGTGTCTTTTTGCGATTTGGACGAGTAAAGAAATCATCGTTACTATACCTTTTTAGAGAGGGAGAGGGAGAGAGCGACGGCGTTCCAGGCACGACAGGGCTTTGGATTTAATGTTTATATATATTTCGTATATATTTCCGCCACCATCTCTTTTGAACGATACTATATATATATATACCTCGATTGAGGTATTATGCCGAGATCGGGTCTCGCTGGGTGCCGCCCTGGCGATGTAGGAGATACCCCCTGGATACGGGGTATTGAACGTAGGATCCCTTGACACTCGACTCTTGTGAGAGGGTCTCGCTTTGTTATCTCTACCGGGAAAAAAAAAAGGCCCAAAAAGCCCGGGAGACTGAGAGGACGGATGGAAAACTCGCGGTAGGGCCCGGTGGTAAAGGCAGTAATGGTGCGAAGAGTGGATCAGCACCGCGAGGAGGAGCGACATCAGCAGCAGCGGCAGCGACAGGAGCAGCAGAAGCGGAAAAGAAGAAGAGAAACAGACGGAATAAGAACAGGAACGGGAATAGAAACAGGAACAAGAACAAGAGCAACAGCAACAAAGACGTGACGACCACGACCTAGCAGGATAGTCACTGACGAAGATATACCGAAGAATTTGATACAACTAGCATGTATAGGTTCGCAGATGTACAGGGACAAACAGACATGTGTGGCTCTCAATGTTGTCTTGTTCCCTGTCGCTCGCTGTCTCCATCGCATAACATCGCCATACTTTGGCTACAAATGCAATCATTATTATTTTACTCTTCAAACTGCCTGTGGAATCAATCTATTTGATGCATATGAATCCATGGCCTGTTGGCCATCCGCAATATCAGCCCAAGTCGAAGAAAAGACGTTTGGATCCAGCGCTTGTCCGTACACCCCTTAGACATGATCGACTGAAAGGGACGAGTCCCAGCACCCAATAATAATGCAGCGACCTTTTCCCCAATTGTTGCGAACAGTGTTCGCGTGTAAAATGTTCCCCGAGGAATTGCACAACCAGAACTACGATCGATCCGCAGAACGAATCCCGACCTGGACTTGCCCCATCCAGCACATCTGACCCAGACGTTTTATCGACCCTTGCACCTCCGAGGAACTCAGTTATTGTTCTGAGTCGCATTCAAGATCCTCAGGATAGAGAGGAACAAGTTGAGAACGTCGAGGTACAGGCTGATCGAAGCCGCAATCTCCTCCTCCACGTGATAGTGTCTCATGACGAGCTGGGTGTCCACGAGGATATAGCCACTGAAGATCAAGGATGCAATCGCGCCATAGACCAGCTCCACCGTCGATCCGTGCGGGAAAAAGGCGGCCATGAATCCGAAAATGATCAATATCCACAGACCACCAAAGAGGTAGGGCATCCAGCTGGTGAAGTCGTACTTGCTCTGGCACGCAAAGAGCGTCAAGAAGACAAAGATGGCCAACGTGATGACAAGAGCTTCGATGACGATGCGGCTTTCGAAGAAGGACGTGACGACGCTGATGCTGTAGGCCTCCAACGCAGTAAAGCCAGCCAGAAAGACCATGTTTGTTGGATATGACTTGCGCTTCCAGAATGTAAGGAGCATGAATCCGATGGCCCCGAACAACGACACCCACATCATCCACGAGTTGGACTGGATCCAGTTTCTGTAACCCTTGGAAAAGAACGAAAGCGTAGACAGAGCCGCGGTCAGGAGGAGCTGGACGGTCAGGATGGTATAGACTTTGCGAATAAAGGACATTCGGATGTCAAGGGTCGCTTCGATGACGACGCCGCCAAACTGTGCATCGTCGTTAGTGCGCGGTCGACAACACTGCTAGAGAATTGGAGCTTACCTTGAAGTCGTCCGGAACATTGTCGTCTTCTGTTCTGGGAGCGCCAAAGATGCCGTGGTCAGCGCTGGGTCCTGTAGCCTGATAGTTTGGAGGGGCTTGAGTGTAGTTTTGCTCCTCGAACGAGTCGCGCTGAGGAGCGGGCTGATATCTGGTGGAGGAAGCCATCTTGCGTTGTCGACGAAAGTTGCTGAGAGATGAGCGCAGGGCAGAAAAGTGTGTGCAGGAGAGGAAAGAAAACTGGGGAGGGATGGTATACAAGTACAAGTAAGTGAAGAGGAGTGGCGTGTTTGAGTTGTGACGCCTTCGTTGCTCCTTCCTCCTGCGCCTGTGTCTGCGCCTACGGCCCCGGCGAATGTTCCAGTCACAAGAGCCAATGATGCCTGGCAGGACTGAAGCTACGGGCACGTGGGGAAGGAAGTTCCACCCTTGTGCGGGCACTTCCTCAATAGGCACCGCCAGTGCCGAAAAGGAGCTTGTTACTCGTTAACCCGCCGCTTTACTCGGACGTCATGTGACCTAGATCAACTTTGGCTCAGCCTGCGCAGGCGGGTCACTCACCCTCCTCGTCCCTCTGACAGCATTGGCTACATACGCTATACTTGGTAGGGAATTACCTCTCTTTGAAGTTATGGAACAACCACTTTCAACTCGATTCAGCTCATGACCGTCGCTACCAGTCTCCCAAGAACTGTTTTTTCATGGTCAACCGAGGATGATTTCTTTCCAGATCGGTCCGTCCCCAAGCCCCTCGTTCAAGTCCGTCTTTCCCACAGACCCAATGGCCACTCTTTCAGCATACATGCTAGGCTTGCCATTTGAAGTGATGGATCCCAATGCCGTTTTGTTACCGTCCTTGTCCGTCCATTCAATCAACATGGCCATGTATCTCCAACCCTCCTCGTCGTCGATCATGCCGTTCTCCGCCCGCTTGTCTCTCCCCTCGCAAACGAGGATGAATTCTCTCTCCTGAGGACCGGAATACCAGGGAGGTTGCACCTCGATCAGACCGAGTTCGTGTCCGCTGCGGCCAAAGATCCCGAGCCGTTTGCGTTGATGCGATGGTCCTCTGGCATTGTCGGGAGACGTCGGCTCGTCGATCTTCAGGATGAGTGATACCGTCCAGAACTGAAGGAATCCCGAACCGCCGCGACTGCTGAGAATGTCTTGGACGTGGTGTGGAGGGTTGATTTCCGCCAACACCAGCTTCGTGGGCTCGGTCCGCGAGCAGTCGATGCCGTCAAAACGAGGCTGAAACCGGGAGCCGTAAAAGTTTCGACTGGCTCGGAAGCTAGAACTCACAGCATCGTTCACTTCGTTGTGTCTCACAAGTCGCATGTAGTTTGTCGACTCGTGGTTCTCTCGCTCGTACCAAATGATCCACGTCCGCTTCCGGATCGCTCTTCTGATGCACTTAATGCTCCGGTTGTACCAGTCCCACATCCTCGGCCACGAACAGCCCTCCCAACCAGACCAGGACCAGCTCGGGCCAACAGGCAAACCAGTTTTGGGCCAAAGGCGGCGTTGCTGCTCCGAAAGTGGGCCCCAGAGCAAAAACCAGTCAAAGTAGACGGTCGGGGTTCCGTGACAGAGGTCGGTGTCGAGCCGGCATCTCAGTTCTTGGGCCACCCCAGCAAAAGCATTGTACACGTCGTCTGGGTAGGACAGCAGGCGCTCCGAATAGAATTGGATGAGGGCTTCGTATTTGCCAATATCGTCGCCTTCGTACGCGCCGCCGTGATTACCTCCTTCTCCCCTGAGTTCGTCTGGACGTTCAAATACATGCTCCTCCCATGCGTCGTTGCCCGGGCAGCGGAAGGCGATTGTATCGTCAATGAATATGAGAGAACGGAGGGCGAAATGAGTCTCTTGGTATCTGTAGACAAGCCAATTAGTTTTTTTTTATTGTCAAAACTCTTCCGGGTAGAATGCAAGTGGCAACTTACGTCCAGCCGCGCGCGTTGTACGGCGTCACTTGCATACTATCGGCATACCTAGACCTGAATGCCAGTCGAAACCCTGGGGCGATTTGTTCGACCGGTGGTCCCCAGTCTCGAGAGTTGGGACGAACGCCCGCGATGCCGGAATACGCATCTGGGCTACCCGCAGCGACTATCACCAGGTCTGCCGCACCGTAGATCAAGTCCATCGTCTTGATCGTCGGGATTTTGATCTCGGCATCATTCTGGACAATGCAGAGGTTGTCGACCCACAAGTATTTCATACCAATCTTCCTCACAGCCTCGATGGCGTCCTTGATGGTCGGCGGGATCTGGTCCAGATACTGGGGATCTTTCAGTGCCCCGGGCACTTCCAGTGCGTGGACGTTGGTGTCGAGGGTTGCAAAGAACTTTTTGGAGCCCCAGACGTAGCTCAACGCGACATAACGGGATCCAACCGGCAGGAGGACCAGACAGTCGTTTTCGACATCAATGCATCGGAACTGGGGCACCTCTTTGGCTGGATGGGATCGGCGCAACTCTTTGAGAATCGGATTCGACCGGCAGGCCTGGCCGTGGCGCGTCCGACATACATCTAGCCATCCTCGCACACGGGCGAAATCGATCATGTCCCTACGGACAGGGCGGATGAAGTAGGTGACGGACTCGGTCGGTGAGTCGTTGGCCAAGAGGGTGATTTCAGGGAACAGGTTGGGATGGGGTACAAAGCCTCCATTCTGCGTGCGTGCGTATGGCCTCAGCATACGAACTTCAGCTCGACGATTCCACGGACCCAAGGACGGGCCGTCGGTGCTCCAGCTCAAGTCCACCACGACCGGGTCGTCGTTGTGATGCGTTGGGACTTTGTCTCCACCTAGAGCTGCGAGGACCAGACGGCACAGCGGGCAGTTTGTCTTGTTCCTCATATCTTCCACCTTACCGAGGTGCATGGATAACTGGTCGGGCTTCCTTGTTTGGCCATGTTCCTCGTCGCCCGGGAGAACAACAAATCGTCTCGGGGTCAGCTTGAGTTCTTTGCAGATGCCACAAAGCTCGTCGCCAGGACGAGACATATCGTCGGGGACGGGGAGGAGGGAATCTTTTCCAGAACGGATTGGGAGTAATTCGTCATCCAAGATGTCTTCCCAGCTGTCCGAGTCGGATGCCATGGTTGATTTCGTCTTTGTCAAACCGACTGGTGTTAGGAAGCAGGAGGCTCGTGGGTTTCGGGTTTCTCTCTCCCAGGACTGAAGCCTTTCTGAAGGTGTTCTTTTTTCGGGGCGGCGCAGGTGATCGTCGGACCTTTCAAAGCTGCCAGCAACCCTCCCGAGTGATACCAGCAGCTCCTCTGGGTGATATAGTCGGGGGGAGGGGAAATCCAAATCCACAAAAGATAGATGTGCTGGTCAAGCACCAGCACAAGCACAAGTCGCAACCAGCCCTTCTGCCTCTTGCGCCACGTGGCAGACGACAAGTCGTGCCTCCATAAGCCATGTTCCCGCAACCCGAGATATGTACCAGCTGGGCTGCTGCTGCAAAGCGAACCGTTTTCTTGGGTGCGAAAAGCTGCAGAACCCGACGGTGGGATTGGCCTCCAATTTACGAGTAGTGGCGGTGGCTTGCTGCAGTCGTCCCAGCACAGATCGATCAGACCGAGAGCTGAAAGCAGGGGGGCGGGCCACTTGGTAAGGCATGGGTGTCATGTTTCCGGTCTCTATTTGGAGCTGTACATACGAGTCCCCGAGTAGAGGTTCTCGTCTCTGGACGTTTAGTGATCCGCAGCAACATTGTCGCCTAGACGGTATATGGTAGACGGTATACATGGCCGACAGAACGCCTCCTTCAACTCAAGGCTATGACCGGGTTGAATTCTACAGCTGCGAAACGAGTGTCGCGAGGATCGAGGTAAGAAGAAATCTTGGTCCATGTCATTGGATCGCGGCTTAATAGCTGAAAACAAAAAATACAGAGAACCGGCTGGGACATGTCACGGTCCATCAACTGGACACCTAAGGACCTGAATGGCGCCACCAATTTCATCACACAGCCGTCTCAGGCAAGTAGCAGGCATACTGAAAAAAAAACATGAGGAAGTGATTGCTAACGGTATTTTGAAGAGGGACAGAAGGGATCTGCTTACCAGTAATCGGTTCAGAATCCTGTGAGTCCATGATGGCCATCTTGTCCCGTCGTGTTGTTGTTTTGGGACTGAAAAATCCATCGTGTAAAGAATCGTCAAATGTCCTCAGCCTTCAGATGGGCCATCCTTGATCGAATCGTCCTCATCGTCCGACTCCTCGTCTCCGGCCAAGTCAGCGCTGACCAAATCAAAGCCATCCGACGATCACGAACTGGAAGACGATCCTCTGTACAACCAAGACCAAATCCTTCAAGTGGCGCGCAACAACGGCTGGATCGACGAGCACTTCGACTCGTACATCAAGAACAACACGGCCAGTTCGGCGGTTTTCGATAGTCCCGAGAGCATCAGGCTGATTGCACAGTCCCCGAAGGACGATGGCTTTCCGTTCTTCTCGCTGGCCTTCACACAGCGCTTTTCCGAAACTCGCCAGTACGATTCTGACTGGGAATGCCTCGTCTTCTTTCGACCCGCCGGCCTCTGGGACAATCAGGTTGGACCCTTGCTCACCCGCAACCCTTTCCCACACGACTACCCGGAACCTCTCCAGCCTGATTTCATGGTGCTGCCGGTGACGCTACTGCGGTGGCAGGTGGACGACATCATCAACGAGCTGAACAAGACCAAGAAATCCCTCATGAACCACGACCGGGGTTTTGGTTCGAAACCGGTCCCGGAGCTCAAGAACATCAAGAAAGTCCTGTTTGAACTGCGACAGAAGAACTTCTTCCTGCGTCACCGACGGGACTTTGCGAGAGAGTTTGCAGAAACTCTGCTAGAGACCTTTCGGGCCATCGAGAGGCGGCATTCGAGCCCGGACGAGACGCCCGTGTATTCCCCATCAATGATTGCACGTGTGGCAAGCCAACAGGCCATGTTGAAGAGTGTGGAACGCGATTTGGAGACGACAGCTTCCAGGATTGAGTCTCAACTGGATTTTGTAAGCCTCAAAGACGCCAGCATTGTTTCGCATTTACGTACTTACTTCAAACGACAGGCCGACGGACAAATGAGAGAAGCTGTACGTCAATCAAACCCCCTGGTGAAAAACACAGAGTGATACTGACCATTTTCCCGGTAGTTTGCGCGACGAGACAGCACCTCGATGAAGGTTATAGCTGTTGTGACAGTGATTTTCCTTCCTGCCACCTTCATAGCCGTACGTCTCACTCCGATACTCCAAGGAAAATGAGGTGCTAATAAATCTAATCCAAGACCATCTTTAGCATGGGCATTTTCGACTGGCATGCTGGACAGCCGGACGATGATACCACAATTGTATCAAGTTGGCTTTGGCTGTACTTTGTCTTATCAATTGTCTTGACGGCAATCATCGTCGTCGTTTGGAAATTGGCGTCGAAACGCATCGAGAGGAAATTGGCAAAGGAATCCGAGGAAAAATGGGAAGGAAAATGGCCATGAATCCGGGATTTGAGAAGCTCTCTACTGTGTCTTCGTATTCCTGGGTCCGAACTCGTATATCTTGTACTCCCTCGGTAGAATACCAGGGTAGCTCGCAACCATAACACAGTCAATCTCACGCACGTGCGGCTCCAAGTCACTCCAAGGTTTGAGGAAGGGATTCTTCCGTTCTTCAACGTCGCGCTCTTTTCCCAATCCCCATCGATTCTGTAATCGCTCGGCATTCCATCGGTCATGTTCAATCTCTCCCAGCCGATCGATTTGCGCCTGCGAGAAGTTTAAAATGGCTTTGCGACCTTCTTGCTTTTCCGAAAGGAAACATTTGATCTCGCGAAGTTTCCACGGGATCGAGTCGGCATGTGCTCGAGATGATTCTCTCAGTTCCTCGCGGAGCTCGCCCCAGGACTCAGCGACTTTCCCTGGTGTCCTCGCCATGTGGTCGCGATAGACATTGTGGAGCTTTTCGGCAAGCTCTTCACGAAGTTGTTCTGGTAGAGGCATGCCATTGAGATAGTTCCTGAACATCTTGTAGTCCACATGCAAGTCTAACTGGACCGGAGGCGGAAGCGAGGATCTTGCAAAGTTGTACCGACCGTTGAGCATGCTCATGTCGATGATGGACTTGAGGGATCGAATGCCTTGACGATACATTGGTACGAGCAACAGCGCGTTGAGAACGCTGTCGTCAATGTGGATTTCATTTTGTGAGACAAGATTTGGTTCTCTCCGTTCAAGTAGAGTGCGAAGGATGGCTGCTCGGCGGACTGAGTATAGCCGATCGATTCCATTTCCACGCTGAGCTTTATTGGGACCTAATAGGTTTCCGAAGCCGTGTAGACAGGCAAGGAATTCTTGTGCTTGGTTTGTGGCGACTCTATCCCACCCTGTGTTGGGCCCGGTATTCGGACCTCCGTTCGAACCCCCTCCTGCTCGCCTTCGGAACTCCTCGTAAGTCCTGGTAGACGTGGCGCCAAAGAAGAATACGGCAGCGCCAACAGGCCTGCTGACTCCGTTGTCAGAAAAGAATCCACTGAACATAACAGGGAGTAGATGAGGTAGCCAGCCAAGGGGAGAACCAGCGAAGCTATGGTCAAATCCGCTGAGGTAAACCAATGGCATGAAGCCGCTGAGGGACAAATCACGGACGGAGTGGAATGCGGTCAGTAAATCGCTGGCACTGTTGAACTGGGAGAGGTCAATCTGAAGAGTGCGCACTTTGTGCCCTTTGGATGCCGCCTCAGCAACCTGTAAAGCAGCAAAGGCCTTGCCTGATCCCCTCGGTCCAAACAAGGCAATACAGAGAGGTCTAGGCATTGGGGACCGCAAGTACTCTCTTAGAAAGTTGGATATCGTCCGGAAGGATTCGATCTCATGGCGGTCGAACAAGAAGAGCTGATTGAATTGAGCCAGCGGAACCTGGCTTCCTGGAGAGAAAGGACCTTCCCTGAGGATCTTGCGAGCGACTTCGGCAGGATCACCGATGGTGTCGTCAAGGAGAGACCAATCTTGACTGGTACCACTAACAATGTCGGTTGATGGAATCGTGCAGCTGGCCAATTCATTCTTCTCCTTCTCTTCAATAGCCCGCATGACAAGTTGAGCCCTGTACACTATTGCCAATGAAGGGGCATCTTTGTTTGGCTCGGCCAACCCAGCTGCGGCAAGTCGTCTTGCAGCGTGTAGCCCAAATTCGATCCCTTCTGCTATAATCTGATCTTGCGATTGAACCAAGCCTTTGGTGAAACCAGCGACAAATGCGTCTGCGATACCAGGAATGTGTTCTAGGTTCTTTCGAAGGAACTCGCCTTCCACGGAGAGAGGATCGAAGAAGAGTTGCGGGCTTGACACTGCCGCACCTCGGTGGTATATGGCACCAGCGCAGCCGAACAGGACGACAAGATGTGCGCAAGTGGCCAAGGAGACAAGTTTCCCTACCGATCCGAGCCGCTCAACAAAGTCTTCGCATGTCTTTTCCCAGGACAATCCGTAGGACAGCTCTATGCCCTCGGCTCGTAAGTCCTCGGCCTCTACCACAACGATGAGACGTTCCGGATCTGGGCCGTCTGGATGGCTGAGAGGGCCGCGCTTTACATGCTCCCAAACACGGCCCCTGCAAAGATAGCGAGCCATATGGTAAATAACAAAAATGGGTCGACATTGTTTGAAAAGAGAAATTGCACGCTCAGCACTTTCGTCCGGGATTGACTTCTCGGTTTTTGTCTCTTGGAGAAGGAGGAACGACCGGTTGGACGGGTCAAATGCCGAGGGAGACGGGGATGGGAAATGCCATTGTCTTTCCATGTCAACCTGCTGGATACGTCGTAGTTTGAAGGATCGAGCATTGTTTAGCGGTCTAGGAAGAGCATCCAACTCCATGATGGAATGAACAGTGTCCTGCTTCAGGCTTCCTGGATCAGGCTTGTGGATGTGGACGCGAGGTTGGACATTTTTGAATCCTTCATCGAGATATTCGGCCAAAAGCTCGGAGCCGACACGAAACCAATGCGCCTTTGGCCTTGAAATATAGGAATCCGAGTTTGATGTGGCGTCGGACGGGTAGAGGAACAGTCGCTGAGGCGCGTCCCCAGCGATGATGATGTGCCTTTCTGAGTCCTGACTCTGCGCCATCTTGGCTGGAGCCTCAGGGTTGCCCTGGAACCTTGGTCAGAAGAAAGAGAGAATAGGATCGAATCCAAGAGCTCCAGCCCGGGGGATGACCTGTCAAGCCTGCATCGCTTCTCACCACGTGACCGTCACTCCCGAGTGTGTCGGTGGTAAATGTGTCTCTTCATTGGATTGGCTCAATGGCTGGCTCAATGGAAGGATGCCACGAGGCAGAAGCGCCGGAAAATCATCCTCAGGCCGAATGGTGGGTTGCTCTGGTCTCGAAATGAAACGGGAATGCATCTTGCAGAGGCCAAGATTCGCCGCTGAGTATAGTGGTATTCGACACGTCAGCACGAAGTATTCCTCGTGTTAGTTGAAAAAAAAAAAAAAAAAAAAAAAAAGAAACAAGGAAATCGAAAAGAGAGCGTTCAAGATTCAAAGAAAAAGAATCAATGTCTAAATAGCAAAAACAATAACTGGTTTGAGCTGCGTGAACCGCGACTCGAACGCGGGCCTCGAGCATGGGAAGCTCGAATTCTACCCTTAAACTATTCACGCGAACATGGGTGATATCACAGGTAAATTTCAGGAGTTTAATATATGTCACTGTTTTTTTAGTGGGTCTAGCTGGGGCTGCACTTGGCGCTAATTGGTGCGTGCCCTGCCTAATTCTCGGCACTTACGGGCCGATGGGTGCCATCCAGGTATATTCACAATTCAATCAGCCCACAGACACAAAGTCTGCTGTCTGCTACTTTGGCCACGGTCATACCGGCTACGTGAGAGTTACTACAACAAAACCTGACAAAGACATGCTTTTCCTGTTTTCCTATGTCTATCTCGTTTGAATCTTGGTTCAAGTTCTCGTAAAGCGTCCCCCAACTGAAACCACCCTTTGCAATCAACACTCGCGCCAGGTTAAAGAACAAAAATACCTCTGCCCTATTCGAGCGTCTTCTCCGTCAAGAAGATCCCATACTTCTCCTTCAACTCCGTCAGAATGGGACCCGCCAACTCCCACTTCAGCGGCGCGAGGATGCCCCTTTCCTTGATTCTTCCATCCAACACCATCAAACAGGCCAGTCCGCACGGGACACCAACCAATTTCGCCATAGAGCTGTATCCATTCGGATCACCATAATCACAAAGAGTGCTCGTCCTGGTCTCTCGGGATCCGTCTTTGTGCTCGATCTCGAATTTATGCTGCAGCATGACCATGTCTCTCTCGCCCTTTTCGTACTGCATCTTCTCTTCGAGTGTGGCACAGAGTGTATCAAGTGGGTTGCCTCGCGGTGTGATGGGTGTCTCTGAAAACAGGCCAAGCCATTTGATTCCTGAGATGATACGTTGTTTCTCGGGTGTATCCTTGAAAGTCGTCTTAGAGCTGATTGCCCACGAAAGATCCGACTCCTTGCTGCTGGTCGCGCCAATGATTTTCTGCGTCGCCTCCGCCCAGGTTATTGGCTTCTTGTCAGCAGACGGCTTAAGGAAAGGCTGCTCTTCTTCCGACAGAAAGCCGATATCGACCAACACCTTGACGAATTCCGGGAAGCCTTGGTACCGCAGCGTACCACGGATTACAGTCTGGGCTTCTGGGATGCTGTATTTTTCTCGGTAGGGGGTCGAGTCTCTGTTGGGATATGCCACGAACGCGAAGCCCGGGTAGATGAAGTAAGGCTTTGCACTGCTCATGAGCTCCGGTCCAGCGATTTCTTTGACGGCGCCATCTTCGTAGAACTTGGCCGAGTTACGGAGGGCTAGCAAGACCCCTCGACTTGACCAGGAGAATTTGTAACCCAGAGGGTTGTCGCTGGCCTCTGGAGCCGGCAGTCCACCGCAGTATGAGAGGAAAGACTTGATCTTGCCACCGGCCTTGTGAACCTCTTCAATGGTCTTCACGGCATAGAGATGGTCGATGCCCGGATCCAGACCAATCTCGTTCATGACCGTAATGCCCGCTTCCTTGACCCGATCCTCCAACTCCAACATGGCGGGAGAAACGTAGCTGGTGGTGACGACATTCTTCTTCTTCCGGATGGCGGATTTGATGATTGTCGCGTGGAAGGTGTAAGGGATGAGACTGATGGCAAGGTCGGTTTTGGCCATCTCGGCATCGAGTGCCTCTTCACTGGTGACATCGAGGGATATTGGCCGCGTGTTCTTGATACCTTCGCATAGTTTCTTTGCACTTTCGAGCGTGCGGCATGCTACAACGATATTAGTCAAGACGCCTCTGATTAGTTCTAGAGACTCAAAAGTCACTGACCGACAGTAACCTCAACACCAGCATTTGCGAGGATCTCGACGGTGGGCTTTGTGACGAATCCTGCGCCGAGAAGAAGGGCTTTTTGAGAAGAATAGCCCAATTTGGACTGGATAGTGGTGATGAGCGA